TTGTCATCTCATATAACGCAAACAGTAACTTTATTTCTGACAAGTGTCTCCATCTCTAAACATTTAAAAAATAGCCACATAGGTAATCCAAGGTCCTTGAACTTCTAGTTCAGTGACCTCCAGTGGTCCGTGTTGCTGCTTAGGATATGTGATGTGGAGAAATATAGTGGGGTTTTTAGGACACGTTTTATTCTCTTTTTGAGAAAGAACTTCTGAGTGTAGTAGCTGTCTTCCGCAGCAGAAGAAAGATGACAAGGAATATGAGAAGGGATTGTGGGAGGCTGTAGAGTTACTAGTAATATTCTGGGATTTCAGACACTCAGTTGAATTTTTTTAATGTCCCCTGGAGCTGAAGCAATGGGAAGAACCAAAAAAAACCCACTCACCTTTCAAATATAAAATCACAGTATGTTTTCGTCAACAAAAGCAGTAGCAGAAATGAAGATGACGTAGTAAATTGGACAGAGGAAAAAAAAATTCATTTAATACTGCTTGGGGGGGAACATATCTAGGAGCTGACAGTAGAAGTCAACTCTTGGTATTTTTTTTCTGGAAAAGCAGGGGATCAGAAGAACAGAAATCTTAGCAGATGATGGGCAAAAAGGGCTTTGGATGTGTCAACAGGGGAGTAAGAATGAATAATGGGTATTAAAAGTGTATATGGCATTAGAAAAATCATTAATGAACACCATTTAGTTCTAGGTAGCACATGTCAAAACGAATGTTAAAATGCTCCCTAGTTAATCTTTTTGGGGAAGAACAGTTACAGGAGGGATTTGAGATCTACAGAATCTACTGGATGAGAGACTGGAAGTTTGACGTGTTTTGCTTCTTAGGGAGATGGTTAGGACATGTCTTCATCATAATTTGTAAGGCTGCGTAGAGATTTGATACTAGATGGTTCTTAATCTAGCAAAATTTATGTTCGCCTAAGATCCCGTGGATGAAAGTTGTTGCAAAATATGGATTAGGTCTTAGAATAGAGTCCCCAGGGAAATGGCAGTTTCTTTCATCAAAAAAAGTCTTTAAATAAAAAATGTTGATGTTGCTTTGGAAAGACCTGCTGTGGGTCTGCAAAATGTAAGCAGTGGGATAGGAACTGCTGAGCAGACGTTTTGGCCTGGTGTAGAATGCCATGCTGCTTGATTATAGCAGTACTTTCTAGTCTTAGAAGTTATGAAGCAGTGTAGTTAAATGACAGTGTGCAAGCTTAGAAAATAATTGTGGGCATGGGCAGTCAGGCTCCACTGCTTTAATTTCCCATGAATCTTACTGGGCACACTGGATAGATATAATGCTTTTCTTGTAAAGGTCCTTGTAGTGGAAACATGCAAAGATCTCTTTCAGGGATTCGTATCATCGAAGCAGGTACTTTGCAAGTCCATAGTCCGTTTTTCTTACCTGAAGAAGCCTATAGTATAATTAAAAACAAGACTTGCAAATTAACAGAAAAATGTGGAAAGCAAAGACACAGATATGTACCTTATATCACACAGGTAACTATGATAGTTTTAGGTCTTGAAAGTACCAAATTGTTGGAGTTTTCAGGGTAAATTCATGAAAGCTTTTATAGCTGCCTCTGAACTATGGCTGTCATCATTTGGCTGCTCATTTGCATTGACATCCACGAGGAGATTTTAAGACACGACCTGCAAGAAGAATGGTAGAGATCCCGTAGACTGGTGCAAGCAGAGCATACAAAGTGTGAAGAGTCGCACAGAGAAAGCAATGGTGTTACTTAAAAAAAAAAAAAAGGGGGGGAAGAACACATGTAATGGTTGTCACTGGTGAAGCAGAAAGCACTAAGGAATGGGAACAAGTGAAGATCCAAGGTACAGTTATGCACACCTTGAAGGCAATGACAGGAAGCTTGAACTTGATGAGGTAGGGAAGAAGAAGCATTCTTGGGATTCAAAGAGATTGAAATCTAATCAGTTCACGGTTATGAAAATGATCAAATTGGCAGACACATTCTCTATGAATTATAGTGGGGTAATTGGAGAGTCAGAGAGAAGAAGATTACAGTGATCAAGGCAAAATGATTATTAGGTCCAGGATTAGCATTTTTGTTGTCTGTGTAGAGAGGAATTAATGGATAAATAAAATGACCTGCTATGTGTTTATGAGAGCCATCAGTTTTGTGACTTTGTTTCTAGGATAGTTACTGATTCTGTGTTATTACAGAATAAGATTTTAGCACAGTTCTTTAATTCTCAATGTGCACTTTGTCTTGGTCTCACAGTTTCTAAGGTCAGTGTAGGAGTGTACTTACTTACTTAAAGTCTTGCTATTAAGTAAATATGGAGCCAAATACAGCAGTATAGATGGTGCTGTTTCAATTTAATTTGGTTTCAGATTTTAAGCTTATTAATTAATTAAAATTAATTTTAATTGTAAGAAAATGACTGAAGTGTTGTAGCAGTTCTGGACCATAGTCACTAGAGGAGGAAACATTTGTGTGAACATAGATTTGAGAGTTGCATGATGGCCGGTAGGATTTTCTCCTTTTCTTGAACTTGAATAATAAAAATTCATGCGTTAGCTTAGAATTATTTTACTGCTGGCCAGTTTTCCTTTGTGCATTGGCATGTAGGAAAAAGCCCATTTTCGGTGACATAGTGTAGCCTAATGGACTGAACATTGGGCCTTGAACTAGGAACTGTCACTGGCTTGCTTTCTAGCTCCCTGTGTCACACTGCTCTACCCATTTTTTCTAGTTATAAAATGGAGATTTTATCTAATTACCTCTGGTCTTCTGAGTAATGTTTTTGATTTTTCAGGATGTTCTTAGTTGAAAAGTCATAGCTGCAGATAGAAATCCCTTTCAATAATGTGCACAGAACATGTGAAAATAAGTTTTGTTTTCTCTGAGAATGTAGCCAATGAAGCCTAGCTTTCTAATTATTTGCATTTTGTGTTCTCAGCAGCATTTCTTCTGTCCCCACTAATCCTGGCATCTGACTTCCAACCTGCGTCCACTGCAATTGCCTTAGTCCTCTCCCAGTATCACCTTTCACATTCCTTATCCTTCCCCCTTTTTATACAGAGCTTGTGTTTACTGAGCCACCTCAAAATACCACCTCCTCACTGCTGTTTTTCTCATTACTGTCTGGACAAGAGGCATATGGCTTTGGGACCTGGCATGTGCTGATGGGCTCGAGTATGCATGTGCTGACCTGCCAGGAGGCCAAATGTCATAGATAATTGCTGAGCTCATTGAAACCTTTTTGAAACCATTGAAACTCATTTTGAAGTTCACTGAAACCGTTGAAATCTTTTCATAGCATTCCTCACAATTTAGCCTTAATAATTATATAGAAGATACACGGCAGGGGGGTTGTACTAGGTGACCTTTAGAGGTCCCTTCTGACCCAAACTACTCTATGATTCTACTCGAAGATAAGGACAGAAAATCATGCTGGTTTAGTTCCTGTGATGCTCTTTTCAGTATGTTGGTATTTTTTTCAGACCTGCTTCTGACATACTTCATTTTCAACAATGATTAAGATATTTAAATGATTAAGATATTTAAACACTTTCTACTTAGAACGCCCCTCAAACAAATATGTCCACCTGGATTGTTCTGCTTTGGCTCCTGGAACTTGAGAAAGGAGAACTTCTCTCCCGAGCTGCTGTTAAGGCTAAGTAGGGTTTGATCTGGAGTGGTTCTGTGTGCCATACCCATGGGGTAGATGGGCATGTGGACGATGTGTTGCCATAGCAGTGTCAAAAAGACTTGATACTTTTTCAGTACACTACAAAGATTGTGTATATCCTTGTGGCTGTCACATTTCACCAGGAGTTCCTGTTCATCCTATGCACAGAGTCTTTTTGAGGGTTGCTGATTTTCAAGTCCTCAGTTCTGTAAACATTACTTGTGTCCTTTCTCTGACATCATGCTCTAAATATCTGACCATATTGAAATGCGTATGTTTAACTTTTTAACCTGTGATTTGTCCTCTTTGATAGTTGCCAATATACCATATTTGTATCTTCTGCAGATTCTTTCTGTGATGATTTTTGTTTCCATGGATAAAAATATAATGGGGTACACCGCTTTTGTTTGTTCTTTGGCAGTGGGGGGAAACAGCAGCTTATGGCTTTGTGGTGGTCTGTGTGCAAGCACGGGAGGCCGTGCTGGCACACTGCTCAAGTAGCCTGCCAGCCAGGGATTTGAAGCCCTTGCATTAGCAAGTTGATTCAGATCAACTTTTGCTTTAGTTCTTATGGCAGTTAAGATGAAAAAGTTCCCTCGGCAGTTAAGATGAAAAAGTTCCCTCTAATATCTTACTATAAATAGGTTCATTATATATACATAACAGTGCCTCTGATAGTAGAAGTGTGGACTTTTCTGTTCCCATGCTCCAGGAAGTACAAATTACTCTGTGAATGTATTTGGTGGGGTTGTTTGATGGGTTTTTTTTTTCTGTTCTCCCATCCTTCTTCCTGAACTTCCTCCCTGAAAGTCCTCAACTAAAAAGCAGATTTTGTGGCATGTTTGGAAACCAGTGCATACTTGGGTGTTAAGCTCAACTTTCTTAGTGGCTCAGATGGTTAAAATCGGATTGTCTCTGGGTTTTGGATGCTTTATCATAGGTTTTATTAGCTGCATCATTCCTTAGATGCAACTGTTTCAGTGGGTCCAGAATAAGAGCGGCAGTACTAGGAGTAGCTGGGCTCTGCTTTTAAATAAGAAAAGTTACTTTGATGATCAATATTAAAAGCCTTTACCATCATTTGAAGTGTCCTGTGGATGAACTGGAAGTTATATTATAATAGTCACATACTTTTGATTTTCACCTATCGTCTAAAAGTGGTTTCACAGATAAATGGTGTATTTGTAGTAGGTTACAGGAAGGGTTGGTGTTTTGAAATATCAGCTGCGTAATTGTGCTTGCCTGAGATATGATTGTTTGCTTTCTAATTGTTTTTAATATTCCTTTTATTTCTGCTAGAAAATTGAAGTTTACTTCTGTCTGTCTCTTTCTTCTTCAGAGTCAAAGATGCTGGCTGCCAGTAGTAGAACAGATCTTCTGTGGAACATATCTCTGTAAATCTTCCCTAAAATTACCCAAAGGCATATATTCCGCCTGTGATGGACCCTCGGAATACTGCTATGTTAGGCTTGGGTTCTGATTCTGAAGGGTTTTCTGGGAAAAGCCCCTCTGTGGTAAACATTGGCACGTTGGTGGGAAAAGGAGAAGTAGAGCTAGAAAGTTGCACCAAGGAAGAAGACGACAGTAAGAAGAAGAATCGGGAGGGGAACAGTACTGAGAATGGGAAGAATGAGGCTCTGACTGATGCACAGCAACAGTTTTCAGTGAAAGAAACAAACTTTTCAGAGGGAAACTTAAAACTGAAGATTGGTCTTCAAGCAAAGAGAACGAAAAAGCCTCCCAAGAACCTTGAGAATTATGTGTGCCGGCCTGCTATAAAAACCAGCATCAAGCAACCAAGAAGGGCACCAAAGAGTGGGAAGATGACAGATGAGAAGAATGAGCACTGTCCTTCAAAACAAGTGAGTAATGTGTTTGTGTAGAGTTTTGCAAGTCATAGTAAATTAACTGTATTTAAAAGTTTCTGGCATCTCTGCACAATCATGCACTACTAACTGTTTTTCCATGTAACCTCTGATATTGAAGATTCTGAAGTTAGAAATGGTTTGATTTAATTTCCATCGACAGGAAAAAATGCTTTTGCTCTTTCACAGCTTGCCAACATTGGGGTTTTTTAGCAGTAGTGAAAGATAGTTCCCGTGTTAACTTGAAGTGGACATCATAGGTAAATTTCTGAAAAGTAATAGCCTAATTTTTAGTCTCTTGTATAGAACAAAGTGGGGGGTCTTGTCTCTATTTAAATGGGGCTGTGTATTTGCTGTGCTTCTCTCTAGTATTTGGATTTATATTTTTTTCTTACCTGTTAGAACCATTGTTTTTGCTGTGTGTCTTAACTGACACTCTGCGATGAACGTATCAAGCAGCATCTAAAAAGTAAAAAATACTTTTCCAGATATGTTAGAAAACAGCCCAATGGTAAACTGCATATAAATGCAGTGGCTTGAGAGATGTGCCAGGTATTTTCCAAATGTAAGGAGATAGCCCTGCCTTGAGGATGTCTTGTTTTTATGATCTGCATGATGTAACAAGTAAGAGCAGCAATAACAGATAGGGAAGATAGCGTAAATGGCAAGAATTATAAATGTAGATGCATAGATGCTAAATTTTAGAAGTGTTTTGTTACAGCGTGCTTTTTTCCAATATACGTAAAAGTTTTGCTAACTAATAAAATCTTAGAATATACCCTCCATAATCTGTATCCTTTTAGTACATGCCTACTGATTTAAAGCTGAAGTTTTTCCCTACACTCCCATTTTTCTTGCACCTATCTGTGTTTCCTTATGAGTGCATATTTCTCTCTCCCAGTTTCCTTGCGTGTTCCTTATGTAGCCTTGTTGAACTTTGCAACGCCAGGCCATTCAGCGATAGAATACAAGTCCCTGGAAGTTAGAGTCCTTCCTTCGCATGGGTTGCTTGTTCATGGGGATCCTGTTTCAAAGGTTCCCAAGATTCCCATTTCTCTAGCCTGTGTCCTGTTCATAAGGCTACCTGCATAAATCTGTCCTGGCATATCTCGTAAGGTAGAGCCTACCCAAAGGGAAGGAAAATTCCTTTATCTTGTACTGCGATGATGTCTGTCTGACATACCCAAACCTTTTTCTTCCCCTGGCATACCCAGACTTAAGTTTTCCTTGAGGAAGAGTATCTTCAAAGAGAAATAATAAATTATGCCCGGAAAGAACAAGTGTGCTGTATGTTATGAGTAATGACTAAAATTGCTTTTTCCAGACTCTGCCATGCAACTGCATTGTTTTTTTTTTTCTCCATTATAAACAGAAAGGCATTTTTCCTCAGCCTATCAAACAAGAAATTCTCAAGTGGTACATTACATAACTTAAAACTTTGGCTATGGCCTTTATTTTACATTCTTCCATTTCAGAACAAGCTTATTATTTCTAATGATTTCTCTAACTTCATCCTGAAAAAATTTGGAAGAGTAGATCACAATTTGTCATTATACTGATGCTTTTTTTTTTTTTTTTTTTTTTTTTTTAAAAACAAGACTATATTGCGATGAGTTGAGTATTGGGCCAATCTGGAATATGCAATCATTGATCTCTCTTGATGTCCGAATTGAGGTGGTACTTGCAACTGAAAATCTCTTACTAGCAAAGAGAGCCATTAAGTATGGAAACTTTCCCAGTGCATCAAGAGATCATGTGCTAGGAATTTTTACCAGGGAGAATAATTAATATTTAAACTCATATGGTGACAGCATGGATTCTTCATTCTTGACATCTTTGTTTATATGCTAGGTTTTTCTTCAAGAGATCCATAATATTTCAAATGGAAATTAGAAGGTTGGGAAACAAATATTAGTGATATTATTAAATATTATGGATATTATATACGATATCATTGATACCATATCACTTTTTAATTCCAGCTATTCTAAGTGGAGTTACTCCTGCTCCTTGTCTGGTGAACAACCTAAACACGTAGTGTAGAGAAGCACAGATCTGTTGCATTAAATTTGCATTACTTAAAATAGTTTCAAATCCCTGACTAATGATAAATCACTTCAGATACTCTGCTCTCTCTCTCAAGTTGTACTGAAATGGTTTTCAAGTTGTTTAACTCTGTATGTTCCCTGCTGCCATTCTGGCACTTTGGATTGTTAGAAATGACGGTTTACAGCATTCTACTGATTTCTAGCAAGTGTGATTAAAAAGTGTCGTTCTAGAAACAAATGGTAAACATGGTTTAAAACCATTGCATGTTCTGAATTTGTTACCCGAGGGATTTTTTTTTTTTCTTACTGCAATGAAATAAAGCAAGTTTTAGCACTGCAAATTACACTTCAGAAAATGAAAGCGATCCCTTAATCTTCTCTTTCAATGGAGAGGAGGGGGAAAAAAGTGAATATATGACCAATTCGGAGCAAGGTGTGGCAATACTTTGAGCTGTGAAACTGAATTCTCTATACTTTTAAAGGAGGAATAAAGAATTTGAATGGAAATTTAGCACTTGCAGTATACTCAGTTAACCACTAAGACACAAAGAGAAGTGGATATCTTCTCCTGGGAATACCAGTGTAAAAATTAAAATAGTAGGAAAATACTTTGCACTCCCATCTATGACAGCTATGCTTCTTTCTCAAGCTTACTGCTGAAAGGACTCTTAAAACTTGGGCAGTGTCTTCAGTTATGTTAGTAGAGGGTTTATCTCCATTCTGAAAGATGAGTGGGTTAGGTGAAGTGGGTAAATTGTATATTTACAGTTTGTCCTCCAGAAATGTGTAGACAAAAAAAGCTAATAAGTCTTCTGAAGAGAAAATCATAGAACAGAGAGACCTAGAAATGGCTAAGATTGCCAGGTGTTAAGAGAAACAAAATTAGAAGTTACTGTAATAGCAAAACAGTATTCAATTTGCTTTTTGACACTGAATATGATACTTGGATTTCTTTCTTTCAGAAAAGTGGCCTGTGACAGATAGACATTGCTATATGGCTAGTGTACCTTTGCTAAGCCTGAAAACCTGAGCCTTAGACATAAATATAAATTTTGCTTGTTAGTTTCAGCACAAGAGGTGTATGAACAGTTTCCCTATGCGTGCAAGGTAAACGTAGCCAATGACATAGCAAAGTTGCGTTGCTAAAGTTTTAGAAAATAGGAAGGCAAGAAGTGATCGTAACAGCCTGCTGTAATTCTAAAATAGTCATGGTAAAACAGTGAAGCAAGTTGGAACATGCCCTTTTGCTCCATCTCCTTATTTCTTTGTAAAACTGCTGAGTGCAGTTGTTCTGTAGTTCTTTCTATTGCCCTTGGTTATGTAGGGAAGCTCTACAGGAAAGTTTGCTGATGAAATCACAGCCATTAACTGAAAATTTTCAAGCAAAAAAGTAACAAAGCTAAGGAAGTGTTTTGTTTTCTTTTTGAGTAGCTCAAGAATATTTTCTGCAGGATCTGGGACATAAGTTTTTGTATTAGACCACATGCACAAAGTCATTTTTTTCCTGGTAGTTAGCTAAAACTTGCTTTTATAAAAGACTAAAAAGTCTTGGTGGTGAAAAATAAACAGCAAACACACTGTCACTCATTATTTGGGGAACTTCTGTAGAAGATACTGATGCCACAACTACACAAGCAATTTCTGTGATTCTTCAGAATGTTTATTTGAATTATAGCCTGTGCATTGGCCAGAAGTACAACAGCTAAAGTAATAATGGGTAAATCTCTGTGTTTGTGTGTGTGTATGTACATTTAAAAATCCTTATTGCTTGCTAGTAGTTCTCAAGAGAATTAACAAAACAAAATTTTAATAACAGTCTGTTTTCTTCTAACTATTTCAGGTTTTGGAAGCTAAGACTATCTTGCGTTTCCTAATTTGGTTCTAGTATGAGAACTGTGAATTTTACACCAGACTTGATAGAAGATATCCTTGCTCTTGTGAAAGATTGTCTACTCTTAAGCTTTTTGCAAATAAGTACCAATAATAATAACAGTAAATAATAATCTGGTAATAATAAACCCTGAGATCATGCTGTAGTATAACAACGAATGCTTTTTTTAGAAGTAAAGCCAATTTTTTGCTGTTGGTGCCTGTCATGATTCTGGAATGATTGATTATAACCTGTTTGATTATAACTTAATAGTTTATGTCAAAATAACCTGGAATTTTTATTCAAATTAACGATGCAAGTCTAGAAACCATATGTCCACATAAGAGATTTAAAATTTTAAAGTCAGCTCAGTGCAAAATTAACAATAATACCAATTTTATGAAAACTTCCATGTTTTATGTAGTTGCTTTGGGCAATTCTTTTGTTGGATAGAGTTTTAAGCCAGACAGTCGTAGCTAAAGATTGCACAGGAATAAATGTTTTAGTTTTTAAAGCACAAAACGATTTTTAATGTAATGTAATCTAGACATTTTAACAGCTTTGCACCTAGATGAAGCCTACCATCTGAAAACCGGAGTAACGTAGAATAGGTCTAGAACTCTTGTCTGAAAATGCATGTAATCCAAGAAGAACTGTTTTAGACTTTTATGTGACACAGTCAACTTGTGTTGCAACATAAAGGTATCAGTGAAGAAGCTTGAAGTATGTGCTTGTTTGCAGACATATTAGGTGAGTTAGATGGATGAAACACCTACGAGATGTTAGCGGTTTTTTGGGTTTTTTCTGTGAGTGATTTGTTAGTAGTCCTCACAAAACTATCTGCATTAAAATATGACTTTACGCTTTCTCTGGTATAAAACTGTGCATTTGTTCAAGTCAGACAGTGAAGTAGGGCGCTCTACTTCATGGACCCATAAAAGTGAAATGCTAAATGCACTGTGTGTAAGGCCAGCTTCCAGCACCAGGAGCAAAATGACAACAAGAGACTAGATACGCATTTGTAGAGCTGCGTGTGAACGTGGCCATGCCAACCGCTGAAGCTTTGAAGTGCTGTACTCACTGAAAGCGCTCTGTAACATGTTTTGGACTTCAGATCTCTCCTTCCCATCTAATGGAGTGATTCTTTGCGCAATAGAAGTTATTTCAGGAAAGCATGGTACCTTTTTTGTCTCCAGTGCAGTAGGACGTATCATGGCTGCTCCCCGCCTCCCAGCTGTACGTTTTGTGAGTATGAGGGTGGCTAAGTTGGGGGGGAAGTTCTTGAAATGTGATGCTCCAGCATAATTTACATAAGATTGCAGCTGCCACAGAAAAGCTGGGCTAAGTGCCAAACTATTCTCCATAGACCACAGTCTCTTTTACACCACAGCTTTAAAACCAGTAACCAATACGACTGGTGGGTTTTGTTCGACTACTGCAGCAGGTTCGGAGACATCCGACCCCAACCGATGCTCGTGGCCACCCTCCCCCAAGAGGAGAACTTTGATCAGTGACATATCACTGTTATTGTGAAATCTTGTTTACTTTCTGGAAACAAATTTGGGCTGGTAGGGCAGTGATCATAACAGCTAGTGAAATTTAGCTTCTGGTACATCAAGGATTTTAGTGTGGACCTAGTAAAGAAACAGGCAGTGATCGAGGCTAGTCTGAGACGTGGGGTTTCACTAGCTTTTAGATAACTTTCTTAAAAATACTTAGAGTTGGTGTGTACCACCACTTATGCTGTGACTGGTGCTGGTAGAGTTGTACTGATGCTGGCTTAAGCTGAGAGCTTTACTTGATTTTCTCAGTACATGAGCAGTGTATTCAAATTCTTTTATTCCATTGTTGGCTTCCATACAGAAAATGCCCGTGTTATTCCTGAAGTTCATGGCTGTGCACTGCTTAAGTTTAATTTTTATCATCTGTTTACAATAGTCTTATTCTTCCTGTATGATACTCTAGTGGTAGCAATACTTCCCATTCACTTTAACAGAAAACTTGAAATTTTTAATAATGCAGAATTGCAAGAAGGAACTCAGACTCTATGCTTCTTGGGGTTTTTTTGAATGTTTTTGCAGTTACTGCAGCAGCCAGATTAGTGCAACCTTCTCTGAAGAAGGTTAGGTATTTTGATCAAGATGCCTCTATTAACTGTTATCAGATGAAATTTTTTCCTTAAAAAACCCCACACCACCACCACCCCTCAAAAAATAAACTGTTTCTGTTAATCATACTGATTATTAAGTGGCTTTATGGAAAACAATGAAAATAATTTCCCATATAAAATTTTTGTTTTTAAAAATGCTGAGAAAATTACAAACTTTTTTTGACTTCTTGTCTGTCATCTCAATGGAAGTTCCTTGTTTTGTTTTTCATGTTCTTTGAAATAATTTTCAGTGTGCTTGGAAAATTCACTCACCCTAGATGAGAAGGAAACTTTCCAGGGCGAATGCCTTCAGCTTTCAAAGAATCTTTGTTTGATGCTAAAGTCATGTTTTCAAAATCCTGGCATCTTATTTAGATCAAAGCTAGTGTTTGGAAGGGTTTTCTTATTTATTTATTTCATTTAAATATCTAATAAAACTTCCAAGCTCTTTGTTTGGAAACAGAGGATAGGAAAAGGTGTAGCCTGACAAAGAGGCATTCGATACCCGGAAATGGTAGAGTATGAGAATACAACAGAAGCTATCTAGTAGGGTAGCAGACTACACAGGAGAGAGAGAAGAAAGGAGGAAGAGAGTGTATACACAGGTGGCTCGACAAACACAGGAAGGGACAGTTGAATTCCCAAGTCAGCATAAATGCTGGTGAATTTTTCAAATGTGTCTTAAGTCCACTGAACAAAGAAGATTAAAATTTTGTTCCAAAGTTCTTTTCAAAATTTAAGACCATAGAAAAGAGGACGTAACTCTATGAAGGTAGTCATTCAGGTTGATGAGAAAGACTGCTTTGATACTATTTAGACAGTTGAATCCAAGTCAGCATTTAGGTGAATTTTTCAAATGTGTCTTAAGTCCACTGAACAAAGAAGATTAAAATTTTGTTCCAAAGTTCTTTTCAAAATTTAAGACCATAGAAAAGAGGACGTAACTCTATGAAGGTAGTCATTCAGGTTGATGAGAAAGACTGCTTTGATACTATTTAGTTAAGATCTCTAGCGCTCACAGTCTACCCCAAGTATGTCCAAGAGTGTGGGCTGAAGTGGTTGGATTCCATGTTTGGAGTCGTGTCATGTGTCGTGCTGACCCAGTAGTTTCCACGTAAGTGCCAGGCCTGTATGTGCCAGAAAGAAACACACCTCTTGCTCCATCCCGGCAGAAAGGCAGCAGCCTAGGATTTGGAGTGCCTGTTTATGCACTGCAGAGGCTCTGACAGCTCAGGCAGCACATTACCCAAGCAACTACTTCCCATCTCTAGGAAATTGTCAGACTGAATCCAGCTTGCAGTCTTCTGTTTAAGTCGTGCTGGTGTAGCTTACTGAACAAATACTTCGTTCGTGATCAGCACCAAAGTTTGCTGTTTATCAAATGATTTCAAAGGAATCCAGGCTGTATCTTTCTTCAGCATAATTAGATATTGGCCAACCATGAACGTGATCAATGTAATGTTGACTGTAATCAAGTACAGTAAGTACTATGCAATTGTCTTATTCATTTTTATTGCAGAGGGATGAATAGGTGTGGCATTGATGCCTTTCACTCTTTATTTAATGTTTGAGATAGTAGATCCCAGAAGGTTTTCAAATTGTGTGTATATGTAATTATCTCATAAGGGATCAGAGTCTTCCATTAGCCCCTGCTTGGAGTGAATGTATTCCATGCATTCCAGGGATCTGTTGGGCACTGTATGTAAAGAAGAATGTCCTTCCAAAATAAAAGATTAATTTATTGAGGTGTTCCTAATAGGATTTATTGAGTTAATGGGTATTGCAATTTTTTTTTAACCTTTACAGAATAAATTTCAAATTTGGTTAGGTCAGAACTGAAAATAACTTTGCAAGTTTCATTTACTCCGTGTGTGTTGTATGTCGTTGTCCCTCCACCCCATACAAACAACAGAATAATTTGACTTATTTTAATACTATCAGCAGTATGCTGTGAGGAGAACCTGTTACTACAGTAGTTGAGGGTATCATGGGACAAGACTGAGAAACACCTGATAGAGCTGTGCATGGACAGGTTTACACAATGCCTGCCCTTGCAGTGCATTGCTCAGCTGCTTCTCAGTAGCATGTGAGGTCTTCAAGTGCTATCACACTATAAATAGTTAGCCCAGAACATTATTGTTAATGGGTTTTTTTAATAAACATTAACAGTATTTTTTGAGAATGTTTATAATTGGGTGACAGATTAAATGGTTTACATTTGAGGACTGGGAGCAAGTTTGGGTTTCCTTAACATCAGAAAAGCCTTAACACGTCCACTGAAATATATTTGCTTTAAAATTAATAGGATCAGGAAGTGTGTGTTTATATAGATACCCTATTATCAAAAGCAGGTATTAATCATCTCAACATAAAATGATACTGTGTTACTCAGAGAGAGTCTTTGTGCTCTGTTCCTAAAGATTTTTTTTTTTTAATAACTTCTAGGACCCTTCAAAGTCGTACAAGAAAGCTGGAGAAGTTGCAACAGTTGAATTACATGTGGAAGAAGGTATACAAGTAGAAACAAATCCTTTATCTAAGAAAGTTACCCCCTTGCACTCTGAAATGACAGATTATATAAAGTCATCTCCTCCGACTCTTATCAGTAGCCATAATTCTGACTTAAAGGATAGAACACAAATTAACGGAGCAACAACTGTAACAGAAAAATTGGCTCAACTTATTGCAACCTGTCCTCCTTCAAAGTCTTCCAAAACAAAACAGAAGAAGCCTGGAAATGGAACTGCGTCTGGCTTGGTTAAAGACTGTGGGAAGAAGCTACCAGGAACCATAACTGCAAGTGGGTTAGTTAATAAAGATTTAGTAAAGAAATTGCCAGGATCTAGTATTGCTGTTGGATTGGTTAACAAGGACTCAGGGAAGAAGCCATTAGGGATTGGTAGTGCAGCCATATTGGTTAACAAGGACTCTGGGAAGAAGCCACAAGGGATTGGCCCATTAATTGGATTGGTTAACAAGGACTCTGGAAAGAGGCCACCAGGGATCAGCACTCCAACTGGGTTAGTTAACAAGGACTCTGGAAAGAAACAGCTAGTGACCAGCTCTGCAGTTGGATTAATCAGCAAAGATGTTGGGAGGAAACTTCCAGGTATCAGCACTCCAACTGGATTGACTAATAAGGAGTCTGTCAAGAAGCCAGTAGGGATTGGCACTCCAGCAGGGTTGATTAACAAGGATGCTGGGAAGAAGTTGTTGGGAATAAATAGTCCTGCAGGACTGGTTAACAAGGATTCTGGGAGAAAGATGCCAGGGACTGGCAATACGACAGTTCTGACTAACAAAGACTCTGGAAGAAAGACACCAGGGATTGGCAGCCCAATGGGACCAGTTAACAAGGACTCTGGGAGGAAGATGCCAGGAATTAGCAGTCCGGTCGGATTGGTTAGCAAGGACTCTGGGAAGAAGCCAACAGGTATTGGCAGTCCAGTTGGTTTGGTTAACAAGGACTCTGGAACTCTGAAAGCAGACTCTCTTATGCCTGCCTCGGAGCCCTTTAAGCTTCCTTGCAATTCAAACCTCAGTAGCCTTGAAAGCCATGAGACTACAGATTTACTGAAGGAAAATACTACTAGCAAAACGTTTGAGAAGCATATTATGAGACAGAATAAAGAAAGTATCTTGGAAAAATTTTCAATTCGGAAAGAAATCGCTGATGTAGGCAAAGAGGTGTTTAATGAAGGAATCTGCGTTCCACAGGATGGTTATTCAACCAGTGAAAAAGGGATTTATGAAACATCTAAGCATGAAAAACAGCCTCCAGTATATTGCACTTCACCGGACTTCAGAACAGGAGGTGCTTCAGACGTATCGACAGCAAAGTCCCCATTTAGTGCAGTAGGAGAGGGAAATCTCCCATCACCTTCACCCACAGTGTCTGTTACCACCTTAAACAGGAGCCTCTCAACAACATCTTCACAGTTAGCGTCTAACTCATTGCATTTAAGTTCCACAGCAGATCTCTTAGAAGGTATTTCAGATCAGATTGGCAAAACTCAGTTTTCTTCTGACAGTACACTTCTGAATATAAACAGAGCATTGAACCATACTCTGAGCACTGATTTTAAAGGTGCTGATAAAGATTTAAATGATTCAAAAGCTGCTTATGTAGAAACTTCAAGAACTAGTACTTCTACAGGGAAAAAGCCTATTTTGGCAGCTGAAACAAGCATTCATGCTACTGTCACCCCTTCAGTAGTTAGTTTTACAAGCTTGTTTAGCAGCAAGCAGTTCCTAAAGATTGGTGCGTTAGCTGCATCGGATAAATCCTGCCAAGGAGCAAAAAATCTGACCACTACTCAGCAATCAAAACCTTTAAAGAAAAGAAAAGGAAGGAAACCACGATGGACTAAAGTGGTGTCAAGAAACACATGTCGACCTCCAAAGGGTCTAGAACTAGAAAGGTCAGAACTTTTTAAAAACATTTCATACAGTGCATTATCAAGCAGTAATTTGGAGCAGGCCAAATTCTTGAAAAACATAGGATCGTCTTCATTTGTGGAGCATGAATTTGTCAAACATCAGTTGCCAAAACTGAATGAAGCTAATGGACAGTCTCTTGCACTGTTAGCTGAGACTGACAAGCAAACTCAAAAGTTCTACAGTACTCACAAACAACCCTCTAGTTTGTGTATGTCAGATGATTTCTTACCTGACATGTATAAACCCAAAAGAGGAAGACCTAAATCCAAGGAGATGCCAGAGCTCGAAGGTCCCCCCAAAAGAACTCTGAAGATCCCAGCATCGAAAGTCTTTTCAGTGCAGTCAAAAGAAGAGCAAGAACCTCCAATTTTGCAGCCTGAAGTAGAAATTCCCTCCCTAAAACAGAGCTTATCAGGACAACCTTTTCCTAAAAAGAGAGGGAGGCCTAAAAGACAGATCAGGTCATCAATTAAAATGAAGCCACCTATTCTTTCTGTGGCACCTTTTGTTGGAACAGATAACTCAAGCAAGATAGAGTCTGAAAGCGATCAACATCGAAGTGGGGATTTTTTTGAGAGAAAGGACCAGCTCCGAGGGCCAGAAGAAGTCCAAAAACCTAATATTTGTAGCATGACTGGTTTGGAAGTAGACTCAGACAGAAAAGTTGCCAAGAGAAATAATGGACAGTTAATGAAAACAATTATTCGAAAAATAAATAAAATGAAAACTCTGAAGCGAAAGAAACTTTTGAATCAGATTCTGTCTAGTACAGTGGAACCAAATAACAAAGGGAAAGTGCAATCTAAGCTCCACAATACAGTGTCAACTCTTGCTGCCACATTTGGTTCAAAATTAGGCCAGCAAATAAATGTCAGCAAGAAAGGAACAATTTATATAGGAAAAAGGAGAGGAAGGAAACCTAAAGCTGTCCTGAATGGTATTTTAACTAGCAGTTCTGCCAGTCTGACAGTTCTTGAGAAGTCTGCTCAACAAGCTCCTGGTACGTCATTAGGACAAGTACTTCCCCATTTGCTGCCTTCAACAGCTAATAATTCCGAGATTCTTCCATCTCCAGTTTGCTCCCAGTCATCTGCAGTGAGTGGGGGACAGAGCCCTGTCAGCAGTGATGCAGGATTTATTGAGCCCAGCTCAGTGCCGTATTTACACATACACTCCAGACAAGGAAGTGTTGTTCAGACACTCGCGATGAAAAAAGCTGCTAAGGGAAGGAGGAGATTATCTCCACCTACGTTGTTGCCAAACTCCCCTTCTCACTTGAGTGAGCTGACATCGCTGAAAGAAGCCACTCCTTCCCCAGTAAGTGAGTCTCACAGCGACGAGACGATTCCCAGTGACAGTGGAATAGGAACAGACAATAACAGTACTTCAGATCGAGCGGAAAAGTTTTGTGGACAAAAGAAGAAAAGGCATTCTTTTGATCACGTTTCCCTTATTCCACCCGAAACTTCCACCGTTTTAAGTAATCTAAAAGAAAAGCATAAACACAAATGTAAGCGCCGCAGTCACGATTACCTTAGTTATGACAAAATGAAGAGACAGAAGCGAAAAAGGAAAAAGAAGTATCCTCAACTTCGAGGTAGGCAGGACCCAGATTTCCTCGCCGAATTAGAAGAATTAATAAGTCGATTAAGTGAAATTAGAATAACCCACAGAAGTCACCATTTTATACCCCGAGATTTACTGCCTACCATTTTTAGGATAAATTTCAATAGTTTCTATACCCATCCTACTTTTCCTTTAGATCCTTTGCACTACATTAGAAAACCCGATTTAAAGAAGAAGAGAGGCAGGCCTCCAAAAATGCGGGAGGCTATGGCAGAAATGCCTTTTATGCATAGTCTCAGCTTTCCTCTCTCCAGTACTGGGTTCTATCCCTCTTACGGCATGCCTTATTCTCCTTCTCCCCTTGCAGCTGCTCCCATAGGCTTAGGTTATTATGGAAGGTACCCTCCAACTCTTTATCCTCCTCCACCTTCTCCTTCTTTTACTACCCCCCTGCCACCACCTTCCTACATGCATACAGGCCATTTGCTTCTCAATCCCACCAAATATCACAAGAAGAAGCATAAACTTTTACGCCAAGAGGCTTTCCTTACGACAAGTAGGACTCCGCTTTTGTCAATGAGCACGTACCCCAGTGTTCCACCTGAAATGGCTTATGGCTGGATGCTCGAACATAAGCATAGACATCGCCATAAACACAGAGAACATCGTTCTTCTGAACAACCGCAGGTTTCCATGGACACTATAACGGCTAACAGCTCTTCTAGAACAGTTCTGGAGTCCTTGAAGCGCTACAGATTTGGGAAGGAGGCTGTAGGTGAGAGGTATAAACATAAGGAGAAACACAGATGTCACATGTCTTGTCCACACGTGTCACCTTCAAAGGGTTTGCTAAGCAGAGATGAACAGTGGGTCAGGAGAGAGCCTTCGGAGTCTAATTCATTAGCACTGGGATTGCAGACACCGCTACAGATAGACTGTTCAGAAAATTCCCCAGGTCTGTCCCTGGGGGGATTTACTCCAAGCTCTGAGCCAGCCAGCAACGACGAACACACAAATCTTTTCACAAGTGCAATAGGCAGCTGCAGAGTCACAAACTCTACCAGCACCAATGGACGTAAAAAATTAACTGACAGCCCTGGACTCTTCAGTGCACAAGACACCTCGCTAAATCGACCTCTCAGAAAGGAACCGTTGCCTTCTATTGAAAAGGCACTGCAGCCACTGTCAGGTAAGGGAGCTCTAATTGTGCGTACTTTCCTATGAGTCTTGCTATTTTATGTTGTACCAAACACATGCTAGAAAAGGAGGGCAAGTATAGCTTTGGCTTTGTAGGAATCTTTCTGTGTTGAATTTCAGTACTACTCTTGCTTTCGCTCTTAAGTGTCTCTATTCTGTTAAAGCACTGTTCTGTGCAGCATTTGGAACAGACTACTGTAGTGTCTCCTCCAGAGCTGCTTATGGGATTGTGCAAGTACCTTTTCCCACCAGATTTTTCTTGCTTTGTTATAGCAGTATATAAAGTTATGCTAAGAAAGCTTTCCTATGAAAAGGTCTTTTCATTTTCCTTACAATTTTAACTTTCTGGAGAAAGGAGTTAAAATTTCTCATGATTTTTGATACTTTAAAAGCCATGTTTCTGTTTGTTTTGAAGTTCGGTTGATTTGGTTCAGACTAGCTATTGGTACTACTATTGTGAATAACATTTCCGTTTAAGAAAATGTTTCCTTTTTCTTTTGTAACTCCATTTTAGTTATTTTGATGATCTCTACTACAGTATAGCTTTTGATCCCTGACTTGAGGCCTCTAGCAGTACCTCAGAACAGTTGCTAAATGATGCTGGGAATGCCTAAGACCAAACATTGTAATGGCTGCTTTATTCATAGTTGGGAAACTCATCTTACGTAGCCTCAAGCAAAACTGAAACAGAACTAGCTGAGACTGTATACATAGAAAATTGCAGTGACGCTGTCAGAGGGTTGCTGTTTAAGGAAAAGACCTCCACTCTGAAACTGTGAACTTTGTCATTTGCATAATATTAAGGAAAAAAAAAAATCTAATGTGAAATTTAGGACTTGAAGAAACTATATTATACATCACTTTCCCTACTGGCTTAAGTGTCATTTCATGCTGTACTTTGTTACTACAGATGTTTGTGGACATAATTTTCACATTTTATCCACTTCTGTCTTAATTGCCATGGACTCGTTAGTGAGACCACATAACAAAGATAACCTGCAAAAGACAAAAGTGTGGCTTGTGCTCTTACTTGCTTACTTCTGATGTGTAAAGGAAGTCTGAGAGCTTCTCCTCCCTCCCTCCCTCCCTCCCTCCAATACTTGCCTATGCTCTCCCTTGAAATTTAAATAATTTGTCCAAAAACACTTGTGACTAATATTTCACAGACCAAGAGCCAAGCAAACAACCGGCTACCGGTAATGAATAATAATACCTCCTCATGTTCCTTGCTCTCATCTTCCTCCTTTTCTTGTGATACTCCCGTTCTGATGCCTCCTGCCACCTCCTTGCTCTGACTATGTATGTATGGAAGGGTGTTTTCTCTTTTGTTTTATTTTGGCATTTGGGGGGTTTATGTTTTGCTTCTTTATTTTAAGGGCAGCTGGAAGTGGCTGGGTTCTTTTACAAGTTCATATTACTTCATACTATTTCATATTACTAAAACTACTCGGGGTAGGGGGGAGTCAAGAGAAAGCAATAAAGCCGTGAGATTGCTTCTCCTGCAGCAATGGAAAGGAAAAATCAAAGCTCTATGTCGCCAAAAGGGTTAAATTTGGCTCCGAGGAGTGAAGAATTGGTTGTGGTAGCTGTTGCAGTTCTGGGAACTTCCTGAGGATTTCCATTACAGTGAATGATTTGACTTGGGTTTTTATGAGGAACAACCTAATTAAGGGAAAAAGCAGAGATGTTTTAAGCTGAAACCTGCTCATGAAGGCTCTGAATCAGTCTCCCTCTTCCAGTATGTTTGACTGGTTCCTCAAATGCCATGTGTCACTTTCAGTAAGTGTATTTCCCGCAATGGAAACGAGTTGGTTTTATTGTGAGACTGGCTCAGTATTCATCTCATTCACAAGGAGCTCCTAGTGCCCCACATCATGTGCATGCAGTATATCAGAAACCTTAAAACTGCATCTAGTAAAAAGCCCCAGTAAAGTAAAAAGGCTGGCTTTTTTTTTCTAGATCAGTGTCACGTTGCATGTTGTGGTTTGTTTTTAACTGTAGTGCTGAATTGTGATTCTGAAACTATTACCATGAAAGACTTAGATGTTTTTGTGCACTTCAGAAAATAGCACAGATGGAGAAGAAACCTGTGGTGCATCAAAGATTGTTTGTTTATTAAACCAGGTGCAATTTAGGTGCATGGTGGAGAGAACACTGAATCAGAGCAGTTAAAACGAGTAGTCAGAGACCAGCATCGGGGAATGCCTTCTAAAATTGTTCTGTATGATCCGTAGGTGATATTCATGATTATTTCAAAGTATCCCATATGGAAAACACGCTTCCTTTCCATAGACTTTTGAACGTATACCTTGCCTGGTTGAATTAACTGACAGATTCTTTCTATGCTATTAGCTGATGCTAGGTATTTTCAGAGGTTGCCTGCATCCAGGTTGTATTAGAAACGTGCACGTTTTGGCAAACAGGACTCTAGTGAAGGTCGGTATTTCACAGAAGATGAAGTTTAGATAGAAGTTTCCATGCTGTAGGCTTGTTGTTTAATACAGACAGCGCGTATGCACGGTCATGCCGATGAAGGTTGCGAGGCTCTAACGTTTTGTCTTTAAGATTTTTGTAGGATGCTGTTACGTGTTCATCTGAAGTTCACAGTGGTCTTCACTAAACTGCAGCTTCACACCACGAGTTATTTCAAAAAACTGATAGCTTATCATAAACTGGTCTTGGCGCACTGCTCACAATTCCTGGAAGGAAAGGGAAAGAAAAGCAAAATCGGCCATTCAGTGGGGATCAGTGCAGTTGAAAAGTCTTTACTGCCTTCATTCCATCTAAAAATAAAAGGACAGGTTTGAGGCATGCAGCCGTAGTCTGACGGGGGATGCACGCGCCTCTCTGTGCGTTTGAGGGATGGTGTGTTCAGACAGGAAAAACCTGCTTTGTCAAGGACGAGCCTGTTGTGTCCCGGCTGCAAACCCTGGGGTTCCACGCAATGTGTTAACGTCCGTAGACGCATCCGCGCGTACCTGCCCCGAGGTGTCACGGGTGAAGCCCAGCTTCGCTCTCCGTTGGAGCGCTTTGCGGTCCGCTGTCCCGTGGCCTTTCCCGCAGCGGCGCTTCAATGCCCCGGGGCCACGAGCCGCGCTGCGGGCGGGCGGTACCGGCCCGCGGGAGCCCGGGCCGCGCCGGC